TTCAAAACATGAAATTGTGTCCATAGAGAACAAAAAGTTATATGAAGAGTAAAAAGGCTAAATGATTTTTTTTTATAAAAGACAAAATGACTTTAATCAAGTCAATACTAGTAGATAAAATGAAGTTTCTTTCGGAAAGTTACCTTTCTTGGGTTAACTGTTTAGAAAAAATATTTCTGGGGAAAGAGATTAGGATTGCCTACCCTGGTAAATGATCGGCCCAAATATTTTTTTAATGTGGTGCTTCCATATCAAATAAATAGTTTGCTTAACTCAAAAATTCTTTTCAACATTGGTTATTCCTACCTCATTCAAAGGTGTCCATACCGTGCTCTCAGGGTATGCGAGGGTGTCCTGGGGATAGTATGTAAGCCAAAAATTTGGATGTTCCTATAGTGCACTTCGTTCGGAGCACTGAATTTAAAATTCATACTATTACATATATTAATGGTTCGATTTTCCAACACTTAGTCCGTCACAGCATTTTCAGCACTAATGACACTTAAAATGAGTGAAGGGGTCTACCTTGCTGCCCAGTCTACTGGGCAGAGACGAAAGGCCCACCCGTGCGACTCGTGCGTGTCCAGCAGCACCGAGGTCCCAACGCGGAAACACCGAAAACCAGGCAAGCTCAAGAGCCAAACTCTACTTTCAAGACAAACACAGCAGGGGCCTCAGCCGCCTCCAACTGAAGTTTGAAAAACTGAACACACGTCTTCAACTTCTGCAATTAGACCTGAAAATGAACCAAGTCAAAAGCAGTGGTACTTTTCAGCCCTCTAGGTAATGTTGCCAAAGTGTGTCCATGTCTCTTTGTCTGGGTCTCATTGTCACAATCAGCCTGTTAGCTAAACTCACTTCTCTAGAATGGATGAGAATTACTTCAATGTAAATGACTAGTGTCATTTGGGCAAAGAACAGCTGGTGTGTGATTGGAAAGAACTGTGATTGGTCACTTTCTAAGTGCTGAAACATACTGAAGTGCTTCCAAGTCACTATTCGGTCCTCTCCTCCAGGAAGGCCACCTCCAGAGACCTCATTCTCAAACTGGACTGGCCCCGGGAACCCATGGGAGGAGACCAAGTTACCCCACAGCCATAGTTGGGAACACACTGGAGTCACACCTGGGAACTGGCCCAGGAGAACTGGGGATGAGCAGGACTCCTGGTGATGACCAATTCACAGCTACAACACCATTAATGAAAAGGCAGCTTTAGAGTGATTTAAAACAATTCAAAATGAATTAGAACATTGTCAAATAAAGGCTCAGTCAGGCACTGGGAGAAGGGTTTTTTATTTGTTCATCACAAACCTAGTAACTTTTTTTTTGACCCAAGATTATCCTCTTATGGTAGTTTCTACCAACAGAACCAGCATCCAATCCCAAGTCTCACCCCCACCTTGACAAAGCAAATAAATGACTTCCGCCTAACAGGCAGTCTCCTCAAAAGGACTCCCCCTCCAGGTTGTCCCTGCTTCATCCATTTGGGTATTTGCACAAAAGACCTACCTACCCTTTGTCTTCAAAGTGACCCAATTTGATGTTCAGGTAGAAAAGTAAATCCCATGCTGATTCTTCTACAAGTGATTTTACATTTTCTTTTTTCCAAAAAGGTAGCTGCCAACTTAATGTCATGACACATAGAGGGTGAAGTTCAAGGTTATCCCCCATCACCTCCAGGGGATGTTGCCCGAAACTTCACATTTTGCTTCATTTCACTGTATCTATTCAAAAAGTTGGTTTTTAACCCCAAAGAACAGAAGGGTACTGTGTAAACTGCGGCTCACAACACCAGCACTGGCTGTGGCATCTGTTACAGGTAAGACAATGGAAGTTCAAGTTCTGTGATTCTGACACTTTAGGGAGATGTGAAATGTATGCTGGTCTGGGCAGGGAGAACTAGTGAAGCTAAAAAGTGCTTGATCACCTATAATGGAAGAGGTTCAAGATCATGCATACTTCCGCACTACAGGCTGCAGAAGTCACAAGCCCACAGAGCAGTAACTGACAGCTAGCCAGAATAAAAGAGAGTTCGAAGTAGCCTGGGGAAATCTGAACTGGCCTGGAAAACTGGGTCAGAATTACTCATGAAGCTCCTCATCCCTTCCCAGAAGAGTATGTGACAGTATGTCTTTTATACGGAAACCTCTTTGTACATATGTATAAACTTGGTATGGCCTTAATGCTGCAGTTAAGGATTTGTTTGGCTACCACCTTAAGCAGCGTGTTAAGCAATCGCTTCCTTAATGTAACATTTTTACTTTTGACAGGACTCTTAAACTCGACTAACCAACTCCCCTTTGCCCCTTACTCTTCCCCTTTTTGCATGAAGTCATAAAAGTTATGGCAGTTATTTTTTGGCTTGTAAAACAAAACCTATTTCTGCAGTTTGAAGATGGAATGTAAAATTTCTGTGATACATGTATATAAAAATCTATTTATTGAACCATCCATACACACATATCCATGCTGATTCACTGGAAAAAAATTAAAGTTTTCTGTAATTTTCTCTGTGGTTAATCCATAGTTGTTATTCAACCAACTTTATAGGTACAACTTTTGATGTTTTGCGATTCCCCTAGAAAGAAAACTACATATCTGGAAAACACCATTTCACCAAAGACAAGGCTTTATGTCATTCATTCAGGAAGTATTTATTGATATGTGCGCCACGGGAGATACAGAGATGTCTCAGACACAGACCCTGCCCGTCGGAGCTTACAGTCTAGGAGGGAGAGAGAACACACACCTGGGACGCACAGTCAGAGCTGTTTCGGTGGGATGAATCTGGTACTGGATACACAGAAGGCAGGGGTGAGAAGAGGTAAAGGAAGCTGAGAGGCCACCGAAATCGCCCAGGTGAGGAGGAGAGATGTGAAAGATGGCTGAGGTAGAACTGACAAGACTCAGCTGGACACTGGGTGTGGGCAGTGGGAAAAAGGGGAGCAGACAACTTGGACGTGGGGCAGGGCCAGGGGCATGAGCTGAAAGGATGGAGTGGATCTGTGAGAAAAAATAAACATTGGCACATAAAATCCTTCTGCACAGAAACAAGCTCCCCAGACACCCTGGGCGCAGTCAGAAAGAAACAACTCGTCACTCAGACTGGGGACGGGAGCGCCTCAAATGACCAGTGACTTCCTCCCTCCTCTGCCCACCCCTTTCCCAACAATTCTCACCTCCATGAAGTGTCCCAGCATCAAAATTTACTCGGTTAAGTCCTACCTCTAGGTATGTGCCCCTCGTGAAAGTGAGACTGAGGCACACTGATTCACTCGACCACAGGAGTCACCCTGGAAGGCTGCTTGTGCACGTCCCGTGCCTGCTGGTGGTGCCCAAGGGTCAACTCCTCGGTCCTTGTCCTCTGGGAGCTGGCGTTCTAACAATGTAGTAAAACAGGTGCAGGCCACGCTAACTCTGGGCCGAAGTTTTTAGCCAGGAGGAGGCATAAAGTGCTCCAGGAACACATGTTTTCTTAAAAGTCCAGACTGGGACAGACTATCCAACAGAGGGGACCAATGTGAAAGGGAAGAGGAGGGGAATGAATTGGTTCCTCACTTCAAATTCTGGCCAGATCAACACCAAACCGAGTTCCCCACTCCTGTTGCAATCTCTTCTCTCTTAGGGGAAAAAAATTAGTTATTGAACTGGGTCTTCAAAAAAATGACTTGGATGGCAAGGAATCTGCACAGGGGCAAAGCAGGTGCAAGTCTATCTTCAGGGAAGAGAGGCACTTGAAGCCACGGAGTCAGCAATGCTGGCTTACGAGAGGAACCAGAAGTAGTTCAGAATGGCCGGAGCATCGCCTCCACGAAGAACGGGAGAAATCACTGCAAAGGAAGGTTAGGACCCTGAGACTACATGGCACTGCCAGGCACTGAACAGGGTACATGCCTAAGACCAGATGGCTGCCCCTTAGGAGCTTACAGTTATAACAATACAAGGTGGAAAAAGCACCACAATGTACAGAATGTAAATGCTGACAGATTCAGGAGAAAATTACAGCTGAGTTTCAGCTATTAACACATTAGGATACCCAACAGCTCTCTGACAGCTAGTAGCACACCCGACCCTGAGGGGGCGCTGTCAGCATCCCTAGACTACAGGCCCTGGTGGCAGTGGGCTCGGAGAGCTCTAAGGAGACAGAAAACCTAGAAGTGACAACTGAGCGAGGCCGAAGCCCCTGGGTGAGCGTATAAAACGTGGCTCCTTCCTTCCCCCACCTTCTAACCTTCACCAGCTCTGGCTTCCGGGGGTGAACCTCGGGCAGACTAGTAATCTCTCTGAGATGCTTCACGTTACTTTTACAAGCCAATTTAGGACTCTACACTAATACTCAAATTCTCTGAGCCACCTCTATCTTTTGAAAAATGAAGGGGTTGTACAAATCATTTTAGTCCTTCCAGCACTAACTTTCTATGATTCAAAGAACTGTATGAGCCTCCTGTCTCTTGTGATGATAACAGAATGGAGATTAAGGAAACATTCTATTATTTCACATTTAAAATTATGATTTTTCCATATAAATCGCAAATGATTCCAAAACCATCAGCGAAGTTCCACCTCCCACTCTTCTTCAACTTCTAACATGTACATAGCTTTGTGAATTTATTTTTAACAAGCTATCTTCATATAATTTACTTAAGTATGCACTGAATCTTTAAAGAAAGGAAGTCCTTTTCTTCTCCCTACTTCCTTATGCCAGCTTCTTGGAAGGTCTTCATTTAAAACGGCCAAATCAGTATATCTATCACAAAAACATTTAAGAATTCAAGCCAAATCCAAAGTCAAATAGGTGACATCAAAGCTTGGGGAAAGTTTCAGTAACCAAAATGGTTAATTATAACAATATTTAAACTGCTTATATCCAGATTAAATAAGATATGATCATCCCTCTAGTTACTACCAAAAGTATAAGCAAACTTCCTATTAAGTGGGTTTGTGGAAAAAAAAAAAAATACTTGTTAAAGAAATTCAATAGTGAATTTTTGGTACACAACCCTTAATTTCTTTTTTCTTTTTCTTTTTTTTTTTAAGAAAATAAGACATACTAAATAGACACCAGTTCCTCAGGGAATCTGTGACGCTGGCCACACTTCAAAGTACTAAACACGCATGGATTTATGGAGCTGGCCAGGTCACGTGTTATGGAAGTTAACAGTGGAACTGACTCCTAACATTATTTTCATCTCACAGGGACTATTGTTAAAAAACAAAAGCAAAACAAAACAAACCAACTACCAAGTTCAAGTGAAAATCAGAGGAAGGCAAACTGTCCAAGGTTTTCAAAACAAGCCACATAATCAAAAGGCAAACAACCTTGATTCTAAGCCATGTACATTAGCAAAAATCAAAACTGAAGCAGGGCAGTGGCTTTAGGCCATCTCCAATCAACTCTTCATTCAATTCAGGCCGTGATGAGAGGCTATTTCATTGGAAGCATGAACAAAGCAGGCTAATTTCAGCATTATCCTGAGCTAGGTACAGATTCACTAGAAAGAATGTAAATGAAAGTTGTATCTCACATATGCCACCATTTTTCCTTTAATCTAGTAAGAGTTTCACGAGCCTGCCTATGGTCCCCAGAACTTTTACATCACAGCACACAAATACGAATCCCAAAATGTATTCCTACCTTACAACTGGCAATCCTTCCGTAATTATCTAGAACCACATGGCCAATTACTTGATCAGCAACTTTAATCTACAACTTCATCCCACACAAGACATTGCTAAGTTGCTAATATATTCCTTAAGATTTCTAAAACATTTGTGGAAGACTACCTTAAGTGTCCAATGCCCATTTTTGGTATACTAGGCAGTTAGCTAGGACCTCATATTCAAATAAATGTTGAAGTCGCTTCTTTTACAAGGTTCAAAACTGCTGAACTAAAAGTCATTTGTATGCAGCTCCTACAGAGATTCTAAGTAACAAAAAAAAATAAAACTTCAATATAAAAGACATCTTTAGATCAGTAGATTTGACAAATGCAACCATTTACATAAAAGAAATAGGCCGCTCAGCATAAACAATGGTCTACAAATTTAAACGTCATAGAAAGATCATTTCCATATAGATTCTAACAAATGTTTTCTATAAAGTGCCTCAATTCCCACTAACTCATTAAAACCATGAAGGGTTTTCAAATAAACTTGATAACAAAGAAAAGGCTGAAGGAAAAGGACCAGAGGACGGCAATTCCAAGCATGAAGCACAACTACTATCAACTCGCCTAGATTACGTTCTAATAAAAAATAGTTATCATCCACATCGGATTTCAAGATTATACTAAATGTATTATTAATTAAAGCAGGTAAGAAAATAATCTAAGAACAAAGTCATTATTAGGGTGTTACCAAACAGTCTGCAAGTCAAAAAAAGTCCTATTAAAAAAATAAAATCAATGTTTGCTGTACCACTAAAGGAAATGGAGAACAAAAGTGCTAACGATCCTGGTTAAGAATATTTTATAGACTCTGGTCTCTTTACTGTAGCAATTTCATGGTCATGTCCTATTATCTCAATGTCATTCAAATGGAAACAGGAAGGCCTTTTTGTTCTAGAGAAAAAGCATCCAATTGGGAGGCCAATCTGCTCCTCGCTGCAGGGATGGCTTGGAGACCTAGTCATGTAACTGCTCTGATACTGCTTCTTCTTTTCTATTACTTTGGGGAAAACTCCCTAACTCACAGAGTCATGAAAATTAATTTTCCAACCTAAAACTCAAGTGCAATTCAACTAACACTGTGGCAGTAACCTACTCAAAGTCAAATAATTTTTTTTGGATTATCCATTTCACTGTTCCCAGCAATAGCTCAAAAAGTTGAGAACACAAGTAAAACCCAACCTAAACATAAAAGCAAACAAAAGTATTTTTTTATGTCTCAAGATGTATTCATTTTCAACAGGTCTTAAAAGACTAAGATGCACACTGAGCCAAACCAAACCTGCCCAGTAAGATGCAATGTAAGTAAACTGGTGAAGGCCGTTAAGCTCAGTAGAACAGAACCATACTCTGGGCCATTCTTACAGATGAAAAATTGTATTTTAAAATCTGAAAGGTTGAATGTGATGAGCGGATGCTGCGCACAGAAAAATCTCACCCTGACCTATTTCACTTTTACTTTCTACCTGTGTGAACACATGTATCTCCATGGTACCATGTTTATTCCATCAGCATGACCGTGAGCGAGGATGTCAGTGTTTTTAAGTGTTAGCCATAATGCCAATTCACATTCATAAAAGTCCAATACTAGTCAAAACTCCACAATCACCCACATTCTACTCAGTTGAAATTACTGAAGCAAATTTGTTTTCTGAGATCACGTGATAACTCCCTGCAACAAATTACAAGCAGCATCTGGCATACTGCTGCTACCCATCCAAAACACTTTCATTAAGTATTTTATTGTAGTTCTATTACAAAATTTTTAAAAACCACACAGTTGGTACCAATGAAGGAAAATGAGATTACTTACAGGAGATGTTACCATAATTCCTGAAGAGATATCTATTTTCTAATTCATTTATCTTTATTTTCAAAGCATGAGTCTCCGACTCCAGCTGTAGCACTACCCCACCGCCCGGCCCACCACGCATCGCAGGAGGAGGACTATCTGGGTTTTCATGTAGCCCATTCATTTTTACAGAACATGTGGCATCGCTGGCCCCACCCACTGAATGACAACTGCAGTGTCCCCCTCCACACACCCCATAAGCTCACACATTTCCAAACATCCTCCAGGATATAACCGCCCCAAACAGAGCACCACTGCATCTGGTTAGTGCCTCTAAACCTCTTAGTAGGAAGAACTCTTATTCTGAAAAGTATGCTTCAGTACTCAATTGTGAAAAATTATTTCTAGGCTATCCATAATATGACCTTATATTTACTGCAAAAAATAACTCAGGCTAAGTATTTTTTCTTTCCACCTCAAGCTTAATATAAGCTACAGAAGTACAAGCTGAAATTTCTTCTAATTATCACTGGCCTGGGCCAAATTGAGTGGTTACCAAATAACAGTTTAAAGTGACCCCCCAAACAGCCATGTGACTCAGTTATATAAAGTTTCTTTACATGAAGGAGATGCTGCCAACTTTCAAATATCTGCGGTACTGAGGACTAACTGATAACATTGAATTTCATTTTAAGACTACACCCTTCAGCAAACCTAGTTTCCCAGTAACAGAGAGACAAACATTCCTATGCCTACTCACGCTACCCTCAAACAAGAGCCCTAAAGATGAACACTGTGAAAAAGAAAATAAATAAGTTAAATCTGACAACCTCGTTGCCCTTCCATTAGTAATGACGAGCTATCACACGAAGGCTTGCTTCACAAGTGTGTGAGCGAAACCTCCACCCGCCTCACACTCAGCACTCCACAAACAACACACTGTGTACAACGAGCATTACTCTACATTGCCGGATTAAAATTTCTGCCAGAAATATTTTAATAAAAATTGGCCATTTCCAAAAAGCACCCACTGCATGCCCATCAATAAAAGAGAACCATTAACAAAATAGAAAATTTACCATATGGCTATGATTTAACGGAAACCGCCTAGCAGACACTCAAGCACATCAGCAAAGTCCAATATTAAAGTCACATTCTTTCTTATGGGCTGATTAGAATTCTGAAGATGCCAAAATAAAAGGCAAACCTATTTAAGTCAAAGGACCTCTATAGAAGAATCTATCCTCAAAGGCATTCCAGTTTGAGACTCAATTTCAGAATAAGGCATAACAGATGAACAGAAGACATACAGAGTGAAAAGAGGGGTTCCACAATCCCCAGCACACTCTGAACCTGGGGTGGGGGGAAGAACTCTAAGCATTTTAAATTCTTCTTCTTTAAAACAACTGCCAAGGCTGGAACCAATGATAAATAGAAGGCACAAGAGTTTTGCTCTAGTTTTGTGTTATTCGGTTTCTGGTTTTGGTATTTTGTTTGTTTTTACAGATACAAATTAAACATGAGGAAAAACTCTACTTCAAAAAACCTAACAATTCAAGAAAAGTGTTATCACATTTGCATTCTAGACATTTAAAACCTATCTCAATTTATCAACAGTGGTGAATCGTTCTGTGATCTTATATTAAAAGAAGAAAAATTCACTAACCCCTTTTATTGTTTTTAACCACACCAGAGACAATCAAAATTGTCAGTTTTTCCAGTGGCAGTTTCTCCACATCGAAAGGCAGTCACGACTCTCCTAATAAGAAACAATTTCAGTTTTTCCTGCCTTCAAAATGTTTATCAAATCTTGTATTTCTCAAAGGCTTTGAAACATGTAGAAAATAAGAAATATCCCAATGAATAAAACATACCAAATGTCAGTAATAAGCAAGACACATTACTTTGGGGAAATGGCTATTGAAAATAAAAATCCAGTCTATATATGCAAAGTAAAGCAAGGAAATTCAGTCTTTTTTTTTTCTTCTTTTAAAATCCATTTTTCCTAAAATATCATTCCACAAAATTGGAAGTGAAGGACTGAAAGGTGAGGAGAGGGGAAGGGAAGGGAGGGGACACACACCATTAACACAAAAAGTAAAATTGTACAAACTGAAGCAGTTTATAAGAGACCGGGGTCATACTGCAAGATACCGAAGGGTGGTTGAGGAAATTCACCATTCTGCAGGAGCGGGCGTTCGTGACCATCGGCGAAGAGCGATTCACTGCCTGGGAGCGACCGCCCTTCCGACTCCGAATCCTGGCTTCTGCACCAGGCCTCCCCGGGGAGGGCCTCTCATCGTACCACCCAGCCCACCTCGAGGGCCTCCGGGTCCCCGCAGGCGGTTATCACGCCGGTCCCCTTCCCGGGCAGCTCGAGTCTTCTTCTCTTCCACATTCAGACGGACCTCACCTCTGAACATGATGGGCTGTAAGAGTCAAGGTGAGAAGATTTACACAGTGCTGATGCACTACCAACTATCAAAGTTAAAACAAGGCTATTATATAGAACCAGAAGCTTACAAATCACCTATGTTCTCACAGTTAAATTTTCACTTCCAACGCAGAACACACAATGTGCCCACTAGCAAATACATGGAGGCAGTCAGATATGCCGGGCACGCAGGCCAGTTGGGGAAGGCCATTTCGGGAGCACTGCAACTCAAATAATTCTCACCCTATTTATCAAATACTGTCTCCCCACAGAATCCCATAAACAGAATATAAGAATTGCCGCCTTCTCTACCGACTGTGAGGCTTAGAATAAAACCCCGCCATCATCTAATGTGAAAAGTTTGTGCTGCAAGGGCTTATACACAGTACATACACATGTCAAACACATCACTAGTTTCCTCTAAATGTAACTTTCACAAAATGCTACTGGCCTTAAAAGAATCTTGAAAAACACTGAAGACAATGAAGAGCACATTATCTTATTGAACACAACACACCCACACTAGGTCACCAGCCTTCTTTTCCACCCGACAGTAGGAAACGAAGGGTCGCTCCAGATTCCAATGACTTCAGTACACCCCCCAAAGCATCCACCAGTTTTCTAACTGAAATACTGTTTAAAATAAACATCTAACAGTACTAACTATGCAGGTAAAGTGCTCCATATGTTTCACGTCTCTTATCTCATTTAACTGTCACAGCAACCCTCTGAGGACTGTCATCACACCTGCTTTTACACACTAGCGAACCAAGGGCCGGGGCGGTGAGGGGCTCGGCTCCCGGTCACAGCACCAGCCAGCAATGGAAGAGGAGCGTCAACTGCACCACCCTGACTGGGAAGCGTAAGCTCGGAATTGCTCTGCTACGCATGACTGCACCATGGTCAGCAGGCTCCTGCAGCTACTTCTGCACTCATAAAGAACTGACGAAGGGAACTGATGAAGGGAGGGCCTTCTACCAATAGAGAGATGAGGGGAAAAAAAATTAAGCTAAATTTAAAGTTCCCAAAATACAAAGGAGTGACCTGAAATACACATGCAGAAGTCTTTTTTGAACTCTAATTCTAATTTATATTTTAAATTCTGATTAAATATATATTTATACATTTATAAATGTATTTTACTTGACACTTAACATAATATATTTTTATACACACACCATACAAATCACTTCACATGCAATTTGAAGTGCTGTTCCAGGCAATGTTCTAGACTGAGCAGGAAAAACAAAATCGTGTTAGAGCCTGAAAGATGAAGGCGAGAGAGGCGGGGGCTGAGGACCTTTTCAACGTCGTTAGGAAGACATCGCTGGGGAGGTACCAGGGGCAGAGGCAAGCTGAACGAAAAGGTGTCAGACACACTCACGGCCCCTCGAGAGGAACTTCCTCACCTCAAACACTTCTTATGGATAAGGACACCACACCTTACCCATGTTGGTTAAAAAAAAAAACCCATGTCTTGGACAATTAACTAAGACGCAATGATCAAGTCTGACCTCCTTTGGCCCAGTGGCAGTACCACACTCTGTAAGGACACAAAGAAGTCAAGGTTGCACCAGACAGGCCAGCCACTGCACCCACTGCACGCTCCCCGAGGGCCCCACCCACAAAGCCCACTGGAGATGCCTGGGCTCAGTGTGCTGTGGTTTGGGTGAGAGAAGCCCCTGTTCTCTCATTTCTCAGTGTTGTGCAGGGGACACTTCACAAAAATAGTGACTTCAATGTACACACCTCACTGGCACTCCAGAGAATGCAGGCCTGCAGATTAAGTCTCACGCAATGTTATGACCACAACATTAAACTTTGCAGTATAGCTGTAAACACTGTGGAAAACCTCTGGGAAATAGTGATCTACAACATTTCTATTACATGCTTAAAAATGTGTAGTTTTAGCCCTGACTGGTGTGGCTCAGTGGATTGAGCACCAGCCTACCAAAGGGTCACTGGTTCGATTCCCGGTCAGGCTACATGCCTGGGTTGCAGGCCAGGTCCCTGGTAGGGGATACATGAAAGGCAACTACACATTAATGTCTCTCTCCCTCCCTTCCCTTCTCTCTAAAAATCAATGAGCATGTCCTTGGGTAAGGATTAAAAAAGAAATTAAAAATAAAATAAGAGGGTTATCTTTATGTGAATTTTACATAAATTTTTTAAAAAGTGAGAATTTTAAGATCCCACACCAATCTCAATAAATTAACAATTATTTAACCCTTTGTTCCTCTCTACTATGAGTGCTACAAAAAGTGCCATTTGCTAATGAAAGATGTGGGGGGAGGAAAGCTTTCTTTAGTAGGAACTACACAGTAAAACGAGTCCGGCTCTACAAATCCCTCTGTGATCAGACCAACAGCCTTGTTAGCAGCAGTGGTTCCAAGCGGGGTGACTCCACCACCAGACAATTTATAGAATAAAAGTCCCTCAGAGTTACGTAGCACAGCTGGCAGTGCTATACCGAGACTGCCCAGGGCAAACAGGCTCCTAAATTAGCTAAAGGTAACATTTTATTTCATGTTCTACACCAGAAGCTATCACCAAGAAATGGAATTTGCATAACTCTCAGGGCACTGGTAACTATTAGTTATTTATTTCTCACCATTCACTCAATCAAAAGCCAAGTTATTTAGCACAGAAGCCTTGTTGTTGTAAACCCCCAGGCGGTCCTTTCGATACTAATGGCCACACGGCATGGAACCTGTTACCCAAACCCGCTGGAATACATCACACTTCCCATCTAACAGAGATGGGAAGGAAGAAGATTCAAACAGCCAACACACATGCTTGGGTTTTTTTGTTTTTTTTTTTTGGGGGGGGGGGGTTGGGTTTTTTTTCTTAAATCAAGATAAGAAACTGCTTACCCTGTTGCTAAGGACCTTCTGAACAGGCTCAGAATCATCAAACACAACGAACCCGAAATTGGGTAGTTTCCCACCACTGTTAATGCGCAGCTCCACCACATTCCCGTAGCCTGCAAGCGAAACACAGAATCTCAAGTAACTCATTGGAACTTTTCTTTTAAATATTACATGCACACTACCCAATATGACGTGGCTACAGAGCACCTGAAATACGGCCCGTCACTGCCATTATGTGTAAACGACACATGATTCTGAAAGCTGAGTATAGGAAAATGTGTACCATCCGTATACATCTTTACACACTGAGATGGCAGTTTAGACACAGTGTGTGAAACGATTACACACAATGTGTCTAAACTGTGAGCAGATTGCTCATCTGCTAGGCCTACTGGAGAGTGCGGCATCAGATGAACTTGGTGTGTACCACTCATTCACCTACTTTGAAAGAAATCCTTAAGCTCTGACTTATCCACATCATGAGGCAGATTGCCAATGAAGAGCTGGTGGCTGTCAGGGTGTCTCACAGTTCTCCGGGGTTCGACATCACCTTGCTCACCAGCCTCACGGACTGAAGAGAAAACAAAAGCAGAAATGAGAGATGAAGACACCTTTCAGTGACTGTGCCATTCAATTGCTTTCTCTTTACCCTAAATATAGGTAATTCCACCAACTGCACAATTTTTTAAGGAAGCAAACATCAAGCACCTCCCACCAAAAAACAAGTTCTTACCTCAAAACCCCCCAAACTAGGAAAGTCGCCCTTCTGTGCTCTTACCTGGTCTAGGTCCCCTCTGGGGAGGAATATTTATCCGCTGTTCTCGAACCCTTTGATCCCTCTGAGGCCTCTGCGGTGGAACCTGAGATTCAGGCTTGGACTCCGGGCGAGGCTGAAAAATTTATAAGTTAACTTCTGTGTAAAAACAAAGCAAGCTTCCTTTTCTCTTGTGAACTTTTTAATTTTTAGAAATATATTTTACTTATTATGCTATTATGATTGTCCCATTGTTTTCTCTTTATTCCCCTCTACCCTGCACACCCCCTCCCTCCCACATTCCACATCCCCTCCCTTCACGTCCATGGGTCATACATATAAGTTCTTTGGCTTCTACATTTCCCATACTATTCTTAACCACCCCCTATCTGTTTTCTACCTACCATTTATGCTTATTATTCCCTGTACCTTTTCCCTCATTCTCCCTCTTCCCCCTCCCCACTGATAACTTTTCATGTGATCTACATTTCTGTGAATCTGTTCCTGTTCTGTTTGCTTATAGTTTATTTCTGTTTTTGTTTTAGGTGTGGTTGTTAATAACTGTGAGTTTGCTGTCCTTTCACTGTTCATATTTTTTATCTTCTTCTTCTTAGATAAGTCCCTTTAACATTTCATATAATAAGGGCTTGGTGATGAAGTTAACTCCTTGAACTTGACCTTATCTGAGGAGCACTTTATCTGCCCTTTCATTCTAAACGAAAGCTTTGCTGGATGGAGCAATCTTGGATGCAGGTCCTTGCCTTTCATGACTTGGAATACCTCTTTCCAGCCCCTTCTTGCCTGTTTCTTGCCTTTAAGGTCTCTTTTGAGAAATCAGCTGACAGTCTGATGGGAACTGCTTTGTAGGTAACTGTTTCCCTTCCTCTTGCTACTTTCAAAATTCTGTCCTTATCTTTACTCTTGGCTAATGTAATTATGATGTGCCTTGGCGTGGGCTTCCTTAGGTCCATCTTCTTTGGAGCCGTCTGAGCTTCCTGGAAGTCTATTTCCTTGGCCAGATTGGGGAAGTTCTCCATTATGTTTTCAAATAAGTTTTCAATTTCTTGCCCTTCTACTTTTCCTTCTGGCACCCCTAAAATTCTGACGTTGGAATGTTTAAAGTTGTCTCAAAGGTTCCTAGGCCTCTCCTCATTTTTTTGAATTCTTGTTTCTTCATTCTGTTCTGTTTGGTTGTTTCTCTCTTCCTTCTGCTCCAAACCATTGATGTGAGTCCCAGTTTTCTTCTTGTCACTATTGGTTCCCCGTACATTTTCCTTTATTTCACTTTTCATAGCCTTCACTTTTTCCTCTATTTTGTGACCATATTCAACCAATCCTGTGAGCATCCTGATTACCAATGTTTTGAACTGTGCATCTGACAGGTTGGCTATCTCTTCATTGTTTACTTGTATTTTTTCTGGAGCTTTGTTTTGATCTGTTCTTTCATTCGGGCTGTATTTTTTTTTGTCTTGTCACACCTGTTACTAGTGAGGGGCGGAGCCCTAGGTGTTCACCAGCGCAGGTCACCCACATCACTACACTGTGATGCTGTATGTGGGGCGGGGTCCAAGAGGGAACAATGGCACTTGCTCGGCTCTCTGCCAGTTTTCAGTCACTTACCCCACTACCCACAATCAAATAGTGCTGATTCCCGGGTGGGTGAGCTTGTGTACTTCCTTGGGACCCTGGGAGTCCCTCAAATAAACTCTGTGAGGCTGGGAGTTTCTCCCGCTGCGGCCTCAACCCCCACAGGAGGTCTCAGTCAGAGGTTCGAGGCTCTGTTTCCCCACCGCTGGGACCCTGGGTTGCGCAGTCTGTCTCGCTCCCCGGCTGCTCCTCCGGGTTTCTCTGTGCGGGAATGTTGGACTGCCTGGTCCACCAGCCTCCGACTTGTCAGGTCCTCTCTGCGCAGCTGCCAGTCTCCACCCCTCCTACCCACATCGGTTCCCACGTTGTCTAAACCTCTATGAAACTACATTACTCAGAATACAAGTAAATTTGTCTTAATACAAGCTTACTACGAAACTCACCTGGGAAGCTGGGACTTTAACAACATGAGGTGGAATCCCAGTAACTGGGACGGCTCCACTGGGTGGAAGGTTCTTGCTGGTCACAGATGCCCAGGAAAATGTCTAAGGTAACAGAACACCAACACCAGCTGATTACACTGTATGTCAGAACAACGTAACAGCTATGAGCTCCTGATTTCTTGTACATCTGCCTTGCATTTTCGTAGGCAGGACAGTTTATAATCCTGACATTCCATCCTCCCCCACAGTCAAATTCAGCACTAAAATTCCTTAGAACTGCTATGATACAAACACTGATCCAGTCACATCAACGTTAGAATTACCTTAAACACCTTTCCATCCATACCAAAAACCACAAATCCTGTTATTTAACTCTTAATTATCTTCTTTCCAATCTCTACTACCAGGACCCTAATCCAAAATATATTATCTCTCCCCAGAAACCTAACAACTACTACTCACCCATTCTCTATCTAGCCAATTACTTTTCTACCTGTCCGCTAAAGACATCTCAGTTTCTTTCCTACTTTTACTCACTAAAGGAGAGACCAAGAACTCCATCCTTCTTACAAACAGTTCCCATACGCAGAACACTGCCTACCACAGAGGCAACTGGATGAACTGCCAGACACACATACATGGTATTATAAGAACTCTGACCCCATAAATACAGCACAAACGATAGTCCTTCACAGAGTTTCAAATGTAAAGGTTCTTGAGTTAGTCAACATCACCCTGATGTGACTTAGGGGTAAACTGAAAAGCTCCAAATTTTTGAAATCAGGTATTCTAATTAGAAAAGTAGTTACATCTTAGCAATACACTCCTACTCTAAAGTCATCCTTAAATACATTTCACAGAAAAAGGCAGGCAAGTCTGCTGTCTCATTATTTTTTGAAGCTACGTTATCACTTGTTTGTTATAACAAGAACCTAATAATTTGCAATTTAAAACATGAGGGGTTGTTAATAGGCTAATAAAATAGCACCTGATATTTCTGGTCTAAAAAGTATTCAAGTTTCCTTAGAGGGCAAAAAAATTTACTTTTGAGCTTATAAAGCAACGTGTATCTTCTTATGAGACATGGCTCAATGTGTAAGAAATTTCCCTGGACCACCAACATGAAAACGCACCTACCAAAGTCGACCAAGCAATAACAAAGGAGAAAAGAGATTTTTAAAATAAACCAGCAACAGCACAAACACGCAGACAGGCCGCGCACCCTCAAGTCTTCCTGCGCCGCCTGGGTGATGTCCGCAGGCGCCGGAGACGCGCTCTTCTGCACATCCTCGGGAGCCGTCTCTTCCAACGCAGGCTCACACTTTTCCTCCTGGATCTCAGACGCTGGCTCTTGCTCCGGCTCCGGTTCAGGATCAGGCTCTGGTTCAGCAACAGGTTCCTCTAAATGTTCTTCCAAATCATTGCTTTAACAGGAAAATTTGAGAAATATTATTCTGCCTCCATTGACTTGGCAAGAAATCCCCAAGTATTCATTAACTACAGAGACCTGAACCCCCAAAAGATCTAAGAAATACGTGTCTGAGTATGAGCAAATCTTAACTGTAGTTAGGTTAGCTCACTGCTCGTAAGCAAATGCATCAAAATTAACCAAACCAGCTTCTCAGTTAGAATTCCAAAACTATTACAACCGACCTTGCACGCATCACAAAACTGTAACAGGCCGTGAGGAGGGGGAAGGGCAGTGGAGCTGCTCAGTGGGCACAGTCTCAGTTCTGCAGGATGAAAGGTCTAGTGCCGCGCTGCACAGCCACGTGCAGAGTTACCACCACCACACAGGACCCTCGAACACGTCAGGGAGGCACACGTCGTTAGGGGCTTTTACCACAAGAACCCCTCATAATAAATAGGGGAAAATGACATTAATTATGATTCAGAACCGTTCTTAAACTTTCACATAAATCACTTTGTTACAGCTATAGGTGTTTCCCCACCTGAAATTCTAATTTGGTCCATTTTTGGTATGACAATTAATCATTTTCAACCAGCAAGCCAGGTAGGTACTGTGGTCATTTCATCAGTACACCTTCAGAAACATTTAAAAATATCCTCTAAGTATTGAATACTAGTATTAATGGTATCACATGGCAACAAGTAAATAGCTTATTAATTTCTATTCCTATCAAACACATTTCTAGTTGCAGATTAAAACAAAAAAACAAATACCTAAGATACTGTCATGCATTTAACTGAGTTAATTAATGAAATTCTTTACTGCTGCAAATCATGTCTGAATTTCTATCAATTTATGCCTCATCTCTAAATAAGTCCTTGTATACTTTATATCCCCCGCAAAGCACTTAATGCAGTGGCTCGATGTGCTAATTACTCAGTAAGAAATTCCAACTCTTGCCCTGGCTGCTGTGGCTTGGGATTGACCGCCGGGCTGCAAACCAAAGGGCACCGGCTGGATTCAGAGTCAGGGCACAGGCCTGGGTTGTGGGCCAGGCCCCCAGTTGGGGGTACAGGAGAGGCGACCACACATTGATGTCTTTTTCTCTTCTTCCCTCCCTTTAATAAAAATAATATATAAAATATTTATAAAGAAGAAATCCCAATGCTTTTTCATTTACCACCCAAAAAAAACTAAGCCAAAAAGCAACTAAACATACTATGTAAGTAGTCCTCAGAGAAAATTATATGAAACAGATTACAGATTTTTGAAGCTCAAAGATACCAAAAGTGAAGCCTCCCTATTGGGAAATTATCATTACCTTCTGAGGTCAATCTGAGAATGCACAACTGCACTCCAAGAAAGAGAAAGACCAGACAACCCAATTCCCACGCAGCTCCAGACAAGCGAACAAAGCCCTCCTTACCCAACAGGCTGATCGTAGAAAGTTCCAGGATCATCAGGTGCCACCTCAGGCGTCTGCTGTCTTTCTTCAGGTTCCTCTACTTCTTCCTCAGACTCTTTTAAAAAAGTGAGAAAACAGATTTTAAAGTAATGTGCTTACTTAAGTCATAGTCGCAATAGAAAGGGCAACAAAACAAGAAAAGCAGAGGCACGTTCAGTAAAATGATGGCACAGCCTTTTAAGGACAGAATGAAAGCCACTGTGTTGTCAGGTTAAGAACATGGAACCTGACGTCATGCTGCGAATAATCCAACAACAGCTCTACCACCTAACTAGCTCTAGGAGGGCACCAGGCAAATTCTCTGTACTGCAGTGTCCTAGTCTATCCGAGGGAGCAACAGGACCCAAAGTACTTAACTATAAGGCTGCTGCACTGCATAATAAATATAAAATGCTTACAATCATCTCGCCATACAGAAATTGTTCTGAGACGATTATCTATGGGTCTCTCGTGTTTCTACACATCTTGCAATTGAGGCAATGGCTATCCTTTGTTGCGGATTATCTTTTAAGGACATTTACATAGCAAACCACCCTAACTCTGGAGGGAAAATTGTATATCCCTCCAGAGTCACGTGCAGGCATATTTACGCCCATTCTCAAAGATTTGGGTTCCGTAAACTTAAGGTTCCATTCTTGTAATGCACCCCTGTTGCCATGTAAGCATCATTTGGACTTCAATGTCCCATGGAAACTGTGACAGAAATACTACTAGTCTTGCTGTAATAACCTGTCCACTTCTGATTTAGGAATTTTGTGTCTTCTACCAATTCCCATCAAGCAGACTAACTTACTAGCTTCGACTAGGTAAAAAACTCAGGCCTTTCATATGTCTTTATAAGCAGAAGTTATTAATGAAGAATACAGACCATAATGGAAACATCTAAGAAATCCAGATTCTCTTTGAGTCCATTGATGCCACCAAAAAATTTAGGCAAGTAACTTACCCTCTTGAGGCTCAGTGACAAAGCCACCAAAGACCTCATCTTGGTACCTGAAGATATCGTTGTGAACGTAGAACTTATTTGCAACAGAGCCCTGCAATGCCAACAAAACATTTTTACTATTCAGCAAATTTTTAACAAGCCAAATCACCCTACACCAGTGGTTCTCAACTGAAGGTATTATTGACCCCCAACCCCCCAGGAACCACCTGGCAATATTTGGGGGCATTTCAGTTTTCTTAATGAGCAATGCAGCAACTGGCAGCTACTAAGCAGAGGGCAGGGGTGCTGCTAAGCATCCTTCAATGCACAGGACCACCAGTCACAACCAAGACTTAATTCAGCCCAAAATATTAACATTGCCAAGTCCAAAAAGTCCCACTCCACATTATGGCTGTTAACAACTACACTCACATACACGGCTTGCTTTAAATACTACCAGATGGATACCCAAAAATCGATAAAACTTTAATTCTGTGAATACCACAGCCACATCTCACAGCACTTCTTGACCAATAAATACCCACTGCCAAATGTGAAAGCTTTTAACTCCCTAAAACTGTATCCAAGACTACTGATGCAAGCACTCCAGGGCATGGAAAGGTTTGCACAACCCGATTAAGACACTCTGGAATCTAAATCCAAATATGTCAACTAGTAGTTAGCTATTCAACTTCTAAGGCTGTTCCTAATCGGTACAGAGAGATACCACCCTATTCCTCAGAGCTCTGAGTATTCAATGAGACAGTTTATGTAACAATGCACTGTATACACTAAGGTAATGTTAGATTCTTCCTTGCACATCCCATAGTCCCATGCATATTTACAAGTCCATCGACGGTTTTACACTGTATATAATCTAAGCCTTCCTCTAAAAATCATGACTAAAATGACCTCATATAATTTTTCAAAGACAATTCAGTTATTTTATATTCAAACAGTAAAATGATAGGGGTTTTCAATTAACAATCCTGAACAGAAAATTATCTAAGAGTAATGCTAGAGAAAACATTTAATCAGCAAGTCCTCACTGAACCACTTCCACGTGCTTATGTGAACAGCTGCCTGCCCTGGCTCGGTCCAGACCCACCAGGAAAACAGTGCACATGCGGCTATTCCACATCCACCCGTGGCCCCTCCACGATGAGCAAGGTAACCAAAAAGAATGAGCGGTCCTTGAAGAAAACGGCTTGTTCCAGAGCCAGGGCTGAAGCAGAGACAGTGCTAGGTGAGCCTGAACACCATGGGCCACGAAGTTACAAAGTGCCCACATACACTGATGCACACACACAGAAGCCGCTTACGGAGGTTCATACTCAGCATGTCCGGAACATTTTAGATACCAATACACAGTTAGCAATGCGTTAACCCCATTAAATAAACAAAGACTCCATGAGTGGTAACAGAGAAAAGGCAAAAGTTCTTCACAGCAGAATACCAATAAACACAGAATGACAGAATCAGATAATCATCAGAGTTGCAGTTGGTTCTAGCAAGAATCATCAATTAATGCAAAAACTAGTACATAAGTTGGATGAAGAGGAGGATATCTGCAGTCTCAAAAAGAACCACCCACAATTTACTTACTAATGAGAAAAGCAAAAATACTAACTTCACAGTGGCAAAACCTGTTGACCACCACCTTAACTCAGTAATCCAAGTTAATATCAATAATGGTAGTCTGGCCAGCTAGCTCAGTTGTTTAGAGCATTGTCTGGATAACCCACCGTTGTAGGCTCAATCCCTGGCCAGGGCACATATAAGAAACCAATGAATGTGTACATAAGTGGACCAACAAAGCGATGTTTATCTCCCTCTCACTCACTCTCAAATCAAATCAATAAATAAAACTTAAAAAAAAAAGGGGGGGCCCTGGTGGCTCATGTAGCTCAGTGGATTGAACGAGGGCCTGAGAATCAGAGGACCGTGGTTCGATTCCCATTCCCAGTCAGGGCACATGCCTGGGTTGCAGGCCAGTTCCCAGCAGGGGACGCACAAGAGGCAACCATACATTGATATTTCTCTCCCTCTCTCCTTCCCTTCCACTCTAAAGATAAATAAATAAAATCTTTTAAAAAAAATTTTAAAAAAAAACCACTACATAAATCAAGAGCCTCCCTCACATGAAGTTCTAAAGGACACGTAGGCACATGACCGAAACCTGATCACAAGTCCCAGACGACACAGACCGAGGCATTCTACAAAGTCACTGGATCACGCGCTTTTCTCATACCTTTTCTCACATCAATGCCACACAGAAAACAAAAGATTAAACAACTGAGGCAGACAAAAGGAGAGTGAAGAGACGTCATGGCCACATACAGTGTGTAACCCTAGACTCGACCAGGGGCCGGGGCGGGGATTACTGTGAAGGACGTTACTGGGAAGATGACCAAACTTCAACATGGACTACAGACCGGTAACTGGTTACGGTTACAGCCACACTTCATGCCTGCACTGTGGTGTGGAAGAGAACCCTGCAGTCTCGGAAATGCTCGTTCTGGAGAATGACCAGGCGTGGGATCTCCAACTCACTCTCGAGGGGTTCAGAAGTTAAAATGAAACAGAATACTCTTTAAAATAGAATTATAAACGCGTGGACAGGTGTTGACAGTGGCTCCAGACAGAGAGTATGTGGGAGTTACTGTATTATTACTACAACTTTTCTATAAATTTGAAACTTCAAAATGAATCATTTTAAAAGAGGTGTTTCTTTTTTTCATGCTGTTTCTTTTCTCTTACCTCAGGAGCAAGGACAAATGTCTGCATGAATCTCCTCAAAGCCTGGTTGTTATTGGAGAGCAACCCCATCACCTGGACCACCACGCCGTCATTCAGAGTGGCATGGGCATCAACGTGGCGGATCTTAGTGTGGCAGTTGGTGAAGTTCTGGGACATCACTTTCCTATGGATTTCCTAAGGGACAGAGGAACGGGTTAACGCCTCATGCTGTGCACAATCTCCAACAACAAAAACTTTCCAACACAAGTAAAGACAATATGCGTGTTTAATTAGGAACCACAAAGACCCTATTCTGGTTTGTCTTTGTATAGAGTTTATGTGAGTCAAACTGACAAATATGCCAGGGAGCAAAAAACCTTCAGTATATATGTATCATACAAAATAAACAAACATGACATCATAAGCATTCAATAACTGTATGAACCAAAGTTACTGAATACCCAAATTTCTACAAAGGTGAGAAAACTGATCTTTAAATATCAGCGAGTCCATTAAGCATGCATCCACCTCAATTTTAAGGGTCATTTTCTAGTTGCCCAGCAGCCCGCGCGAAGCCCAGTACGCTTACCTTCTGTCCGTAGACTGCGTCTGCGGGCTTGCCATTCGAGTCCAGTCCCCCGTGGACATATGAAGAGTTCTTTCCATAAAATCTGTGAAACGGAAGTGTAATTTACTTTGTCGGCCCCGAGTACCCTGAGACCGGGCACTTCTTTTTCACATCCGGCACCCGACTGCCTCAACGGCAGACAGACTCTTAGAAACAGGAGTGTGCGCCCTGTTTCCTCTTCGCACGCACTCAGAGTCACCCCACGTGCCAGGAAGCACTGCTGGATGGGGACCATTTGGTCAAGGCAGCAGAACACTGCTTTCACAAGTCCAAACTGCCAGGGGCTCGGGGGCAGGAGGGTCGTGGTGGGAAGGATCACGTAAGTTCGTAAGTTCAGGAAGGCTGCCTAAAATAAAACGAAGTTCCTGTTTTCAATCACGAAGAACACAGGCAGGTTTGTATTAGGACACCTATACTCTCCACAGACTTGAAGAGTCCTTCTATGCCTAAAAACACATGTGAAAATTCCCATTAAAACCCAGTAACTCATCACACAGGTACAGGTGGGTTTTAGGAGTTGTTTTTAATAATTTTTGCTGATGCATCGCAAGCTGTAATTCCCATAGCTTTCATTTTTCAACTCAACTGCTCGTTTGCATTAGAATACTATACTGGATCAGGAAAGCCAATGTAGGCTTAACCACACTACCACATTGTAAGGATTTGATGTCTGGATTCCAGATAAGCAACTTCTCCCAAATAAGGCCGTACACGCCATTCTACATCCTGACTCCGCCTCCCCAGCCTCCCCAAAGGGGAAAAGCTCTGGGCCCACAGGACCCCAAGCATATCCTTTAATTGTTAGTTATTAAAAGGCTGCATATTAGCCAATGAAATTGGTTCACTGCTGGCTCAGCTACTTTTCATTATATCTAAGATATAGCTCAGAGATTAAATGTGGGAAAAAGAGGATGCCTTAGAATCAATCAATAGCAATAGTGAGAAGAAACACGTGAATATACTGTATTCTGCCATGTATAATGCATACCCACATTTTTGGCCCAAACTTTTAGGAAAATCTTTCATTTTCATTTTTTAATTCAATTTTTTATTTATTTACCTTTAAAAACAAAATTGATTATCATATTCCAGGGTATTATTTTGTTTACAGATATTATTATTGCTTTCTATAGTTACACTTTTAATGCATAAGAATAAATGAAAGAATTAAAAACATTTCTATAGACATGGAATTAGTACTACCCATGTATAATGTGCAAGTTATTTTTTCCCTCAAAAATCGGGGCAAAGAAGTGTGCATTATACACCACAAAACACGGTGCTTGGTTTGTTTCTTCCAACCCCAGCTCCTTTTTCCATTCAAATTTACCTAGTTTCTATGGGCTCAGAATAAAATTTTGACCTAAAACACAACAAAAAGGAAAAAAAAGTTTGGAGACGTTTACTATCAGTAATAGTTATATAAATACCAGCAAAATTTTAACTCCTTAACATCTTTATCTGCAAAATGAGGTTATCTCCCAGAATGCTTTACTAAAATGTTTTGGAAAAGATTAAAAGGAAGTAGGTGAAAATATTTTGGACATTGTAAAGTCTTAAAAAAAAAAGAGACTGAGCCCTGGCTGGTGTGGCTCAGTGGATTGAGTGCAGACTGCAAACCAAAGGGTCACCGGTTCGGTGCCCAGTCGGGGCGCATGCCTGGAATGCAGGCCAGGTCCCCAGTGGGGGCCGCATAAGAGGCAACCACATATGGATGTTTCTCCCCCTCTTTAAAAAAAAAAAAAGAGAGAGAGAGTGAGATTTTCCACTTTCACAGTAAGGACTCAAAATCAACCTATAAGGAAACCCTCCCACGCCGCTGGTGGGCGTGCGGAAGTGGTGTAGACACCATGGACACAGTGTATCTACGCCGCTGGTGGGCGTGCGGAAGTGGTGTAGACACCATGGACACAGTGTATCCTCGAAATCTCAGAGCAGACCTACCACATGACCCAGTACCCTGAAAATACTTATTTGTAAAGATATACATACATACGCCTGAGGTCAGTGCAGCATTATTCACAATAGCCAAGACACAGAAACAATCCAAGTGTCCTTTGGTGGGTAACTGAATACAGAAGAGATGGTATATACATGAAACTCAATACTACTCAGCCATAAAAAAGATAAAATGTTGCTATTGAAAACAACACCATGGACAGGTCTTGAGAGTATCACCCTAGGTGAAATAAGTGAGACGGAAAAGGACAAGAACCACGACTTGACTTTATGCAGATGTGGGATATACACCAAGTAACAAATTCGTGAAAACCAGTAGATGTGGGATATATACCAAGTAACAAATTCGTGAAAACCAACATTGTAATGGTGGTTACCACAGGGTCAGGGTGGGGAGGAAGAAGACGGCAGAGGGGGTCAAACGCACGGCAGCAGAGGAGACTCTGGGTGGCGGGCACACCACGGAGTACACGGGTGTCGCGTTACAAAGCCGTACGCCTGACACTGACGTAATGTTGTTAACCAACAAATTCAATTTTTAAAAATTGAATACAGTAAAAAGAATTTATAAATTTCTCAGTGGATTGAGCGCGGGCCTGCGAACCAGAGTATCGCGGTTCGATTCCCAGTCAGGGCACATGCCTGGGTTGCAGGCCAGTTCCCGGCAGGGGACGCATGAAAGGCAACCACACATTGATGTTTCTCTCCCACTCTTTCTCCTTCCCTTCCCCTCTCGAAAAATAAATAAAGAAAATATTTAAAAAAAAAAAAAAAAAAAAAAAAAGAATTTATAAATTTCCTTTTGCATCTAATAATCATGTGTCATCCAATATGCAAGCTAGTCGAAGTATAGAGGAAAAATAGTTCTTGTCCAGCAAACACACATTTTGGAATTTCTAAGAATTTTAACAAGTCCACATACACTACGAGCTATAGATAATGAATGTTTATAATAGGAAATAATGAAAGCAATTCATCAGGGGATTAAAGTATGCTACATCTCTATAAAATGAACACTCTGGATATTAAAATCACTGTGAAACTTGTATAACCTATGTAAAAAGACCCCAGATTATCAAATAAACTAAAAGAACATTAAAGTGTTCACATGTACATAGAAAAGCTGTTAGCGTGAATTTACCTCCACGTTTATTTCATTACGTTTAAGTTTATAACAAGCATGTATTGTTTTCACTAAAAAAATAAATAACCAAGGCTCTGGCTGGCATAGCTCAGTGGATTGAGTGCAGGCCTGGGAGACAAACAACTGAGGTTCGATTCCCAGTCAGGGCACATGCCTGGGTTGTGGGCCAGTTCCCAGCAGGGGACCTACAAGAGGCAACCACACATTGATATTCCTCTCCCTCTCTCCTTCCTTTCCCCTCTAAAGATAAATAAATAAAATCTAATAAATTAATAACCAGTTTTTAAACCACATCGACACAAAGTATGTTAATACAACAGTCTTCAATATTCTTCAATACATTCCTACTAAATAATTCATGACTCACCAAAAACAGAACAAAAAATGAGGACAAAAGCATGAATACTACACCTTTCCATTTTCAGGTATTATTTTTCTGATAATGTGTAAGTTTTGGTTACTTAAGTCTAATTTTTAATTTTATTTGTATATTCTATTTAAAGTGATACCACTTTAACAACTGTGGTTTCCTGGCCCTTACACAAAGCACCACTCCGCAACACTCCCCAACAGCCCTACCAGGTGCACGAGCGGCGAGAGGAGAAACAGCCACCGGGGCTGCAGGGAGAACCCCGCTCACCTGTGCAGCATGTCTGGGGCCTGGTTCAGCAGCGTGTAGTACTGCCGCACGAACTCCCGCCCAACCAGCAGGGGACTAGGCTTCTCCATAACCATTGCTTTGGTCGATTCAACCTGGAAAAGAAGTTAAATACGCTCAACCAGAAAGATCAAATATCATACAAAGGAAGAAAGTGGCAGGGGAGAAGGTAATCATTTAGCTAAAACCAAATCAAAGTAAGACGAGATCACTTCAGAAATTCTTAGTTTTAAAAAGAAATAATCATTATAAAAAGAAAACCCACAGACCAGATGAGACTTCATACATTCAAATTTACTGCAATCAGCTAAACACTGGGAGAAAAAAGAAACACTACAAAGAATTCATCATTATTCCTAATACTCAATTTTCTTACACTAAATATAAGAACCTCATAGGCACATATTTCTAACACGTATCCTGTCAGTTTTCTTGAGCGAGCTCCAGGGGTAAGAGTACAAACATGTTCTATTTACAGAACTATTTCATTCAAGGGTGGCAAAGTGAAACAGCAGCTAGAGCTTAGGCATACAGGCACACGCGATCACATTTCTAGTCAAACTAAGAGAAATATTTGGTATCTTTATCTTTCTAAGCAAACCCACAAAAACTAAGTTTTAAATATGCTTTATTCATCCCATAGTGGGACCAAAAATAATCTGAAAGTATGGGTACAAGTTAACAAAATGATTTTCACAACAAAATAATTGCTGCCACACCAAAATTATCACAATTTAAAGTCAGTACCTCAGTGTTAAGAAATGCACTGCACAGATACAAAGTCCTCAATTATTGTTAGTTACTACTTTAAAAGACACTTTTTAGGGATATGATTTTGTAACCACTCCCCTATACACCTGAAACTAATGCAAAATAATATTAATGTAAATTGTTTTTTTTCCAAATGAGCATTCTTTTTTCACAAAGATTTTATTTATTTCTAGAGAGAGGGGAAGGGAAGGAGAAAGAGAGGGAGAGAAACATCGATGTGTGGTTGCCTTTCATGCACCTGACCACTGGCAACCTGGCCCACAACCCAGGCACTGCCCTGAGAATCAAACCAGGACCCCTTGGTTTGCAGGCCCGCACTCAATCCACTGAGCTACACTAGCCAGGGCTATTAATGTAAATTGCATTGAAAATTAATTTTTTTTAAAAATTCAAACAAGTAGAAAAAAACTTTGAAATGATCTTTGGCATGAGAAAATCAATTTTTCATTTAAGTAGATAAAAATTATCTTCCATTTAAAAGCAAACAGTAATATATATAATTACAGTATAAAAAAGGAGACAAATTTTATTTCCGTTTTCTTAAAGGATGGGCAAAATAAATTGAAACTGGTTGGACATATCCTGCACAAGTAATTTGTGGAGGTATGTTTATCTTCACTGTGTTTACTCATTCTTCTTAAATACCTGTCTACTTACACTTACTACTTGTTCCACCAAAATCTAAGAAATTAGATGAAAGGCTGTTCATCATTTTCCCCAAATTGCAGCATCACAATGGAGTAGCTTCCCAGGCACACTGGAGAGCAGTGTGCCTGCAGGCATGGTTATGAGGATATCAGTAATGAGAATTCAGATCCTAACTCTTACACTAATATTACTTAGTAAACTAACCTAAGGCAGAATGAGAAATTGCAGTATTTCCTGCCCCGCCCCCAGCTCTTGGTCCAGGAAAAGATTAATTTCAGATGTTCTTACTGATCCTAAATTCTTCACGACTTAAAGATTACAGCTGAACATTAAAGGTTCTTAATAGTCATCTAGCCTATGACTTTTTAAAATTTAATTTATTGGGGTTACTCTGGTTAACAAAAATACACAGATTTAGGGTGCAGGTCTACAAAATGTCATCTCTCTGTGGGAGATGTGTGTTCACCACCCCAAGTCGAGTCTCCATCCATCACCATTTATCCCCCTACTCCTCCTCCTCCCCCCCTTCTCACCACCCCCCATGCAATCACCACACTGCTGTCCACGTCCCTAAGTTTCACTTACGAGGTCTGTCTCTACTTTGCCTCTTATAGTTCATTTTGTTCATTAGAGGCTGCATGAGTGAAATCATATGGTGCCTGTCCTTCTGATTTTGCCTGTGGTTTCTGAGTTTTAAGGTTTCCCACTACTTACACCAGAGCAGCCACACTTTTTTATATATTCAAGTTCCCGTATAAATTTTCCTTTTTTAAAAAAATTACTCTTCCTTATGCTATTAGTTGCCTCAATTCCCCCCCCTTCCCTCCTCTGCCTAGCCCACCCCCTGCCCCCACAGTCATCCCCCAGCATTGTTCGGCCCACGTCCATGGGTCATGCACACATGTTCAAATTTTCCTTTCTTAAAAGGGCTTAGCTACAACTCTATGCAAAAATCACTAACATCTGACCCAACCTCAGTTAAAAGGGAAAATCCAATGTGATTCCATGACATCCTCAGATCTCACAACGATCTTCAAAACTGAAAAATTGCTCAGAAACTGGTGAAGTTAGTATCATTTTTATTCCATTTAGCTGTATTTACATTTTTTTCTAATAAATATACTGAGGCTGGACAGAGAATTGTGCTTCCCTGTCTGATCCAAAGTAGACAATGTATCCCCAACACAAAGCGACTTAAAGGGAGACCCCCAACGGGACAGACACACCAACCAGGGCGCATTAATAAACTCCTGTCCTTCCATCCTAACTGCACTCACTTCTCCTGGGTGTCATCTGCTCTTATTCCCTAGTCAGCATCACAAGTGCCGCCATCACTGCACTCAGTGACATCAACCTAACTTCACCCTTTACCCCTGCCAAGTAGTGTCCTTGTGCTACGAATTTCTAAGAAGCGTGTTATCAAACACTCTTTCCCACAAACAATCTTCCTGGGCAAAAATGATGAAAATCTTTAGGTGTATCAAAGAAAAGAAAAATTTAACCCTATAGACCACTTCTAGAATTTCTTTACCCTTTCTCTGCAATTGCCCAGATAATTCAAAGAATTGTAAAAGCTCATTCTTGGTTTGATTGTACCATTATCATCACTATTTTATCTCGGGTCACCGCCATAAAGCCAAGTACAGAAAATTAAACATTTATATGCTAAAGTTACCATCTCATTTGTGCATTTTCCTTAACTGCTATAATTCTGAGGCTTGTCAGAGAAATCCGTATCATTCACCAAGTTCCCAAACATTAATTTTATTAGTTTAACATAATTGAACAGTTTGGGAACTAGGTTCTCCGTGATCATTTCTGAATTTCCCAAACAGGTGGTCCTTTATGTGAGGTTGAAATTTTCGAGTACAGGAACGTGCAACATAGCTTCGGTGAAATAAAGTCGCCAGTTTTACCGCCAGTCGTGGGGGCTGCTCGACCACCTACCCAGCCGCGGAGGCTGTTTCCGCTACCAGCACCGTGTGCTCCCACTGACACAGAAGCTCCGGCTCTTCTATACGAAACACTGACCAATGAGCACGAGGGAAATGACTGCAGTATTTTAAAATAATATTCTTGTCAATTATATTGCGATAAAACTGGGAAAAACAGAAAAATAATAGTCCACGTGACTGAATATATATGGCAGTTTAGTAAAAAGGAAGTATACTGCTTCACTGTTTAAAAGAACACAAAACAAAAAAAGAGGCTGATTCCAAAACTTAAAAAGCCAAAGGCTTCAAGAACTCTACATTAGTTAAGAAGAATGAAAGTTTTGTCCTAAATGTTACATTTCTTGAGTTGAGATCATTTCTTACAGAATTTTCTAGTCCTAACACTAACAGTTATCTGACACACGAGAGGAAATAAGTTTTCTTTCACAGGTTAAAATTCTGTGCCAGCCAGATGAACCCCTGAGCACCCGCCTGTCGGGGGGACGGTCAGGGCCTGCGGGCTTCAGGCTGGGCAGCAGGGCCGCAGCTACCGCCGGGACTGAGAGGACGAGGGCGGGGCAGACCGAGGGGCGGGGCAGACCGAGGGGCCGGGTGAGGAGGCCCCAGCCGGCGTGAGAAACACGCAGGTACTGGGGTAGCTGCCTGGGTACAAATGAAGAACTTTCTATATTCTTGTTTGTAAATCATGCCTCAAAATGCTAAATAAAACATGCTTCCACGTTTTTTAAAAAGTCTGAAAACACCCTAAAAATGTATCAACGTAACTGAAATCACCGAACTACCCAACAGCATCAGTCACTACAAAACGCTGAGCAACGTTCCTGGGTGACCCGAGATCACACACTGCAAGCTTTGTAAATGTGCCTGTCTATTTAATAAGCATTTTCAGTACACAAAAGAAAGGAAGAAAGGAAGAGAAAGGGGGAGAAAGGGGGAAAGGGGGAGAGGGGGAGAGAGGGAGAGGAAGAGAGGGAGAGGGAGAGAGAGAGAGAGAGAGAGACAGAGACAGAGACAGAGACAGACATACTCCATCCTAATTAGAAAAATCTTAAGCCCTGGCTGGTGTAGCTCAGTGGATTGAGCGCCGGCCTGTGAACCAAAAGATCACGGTTCAACTCCCAGTCAGGGCACAAGCCTGGGTTGCATGCCAGTTCCCAGCAGGGGATGCATAAGAGGCAACCATACATTGATATTTCCCTCCCTCTTCCCTTCCCTTCTAAAGATAAATAAATTTTTAAAAGATTAAAAATTTAAAAAAAGAAAAATCTTCTTTGATAAATCATCTCTAACTTTCATCTTCATTTCTGGCCCGAACCTAAAAAACAAACCATGAGAAATATGTGAACTAATGTCATACCTCTAAGAATAAATCTTTAATCTCACTCTTGTTCATCAGAACTCTCAATTCTATCAAATCTAAAATAATGAAAGTAAACAAATGCAAATGAATTCATCTCAGCACAGCTAGTGTTTTGCCAGTTACTGATGCATATTCTCCCTCATTTACTAACACGTCTGGAACACTGTCCTTCTGAAAGAGGTTTTACAAATTTACACAACTGTGGAGTCTGGCTGTTTGCAACGTAACCACATAGGCCAATGGACTCGTCGGTGGTAAGACTGTAAAGCAGGGAAACACAAAAACCAGGAGAAGGAAACGAGTCTTACTATTTCAATCCCCACGCTCATGTGAAGAATTCATAAGAAAAGCCACTCTCCCA